TAATAAAAATTTGGCAAACCAAAAAAACTTGGCTTTATGCAATTTCGGCTTAGCACGGCTTTGTTTTAACGAGTTTGCCTTGTATAATGAGTAGCGTCAACGCTACAGTAATCAGCCTTACCTCCTGTTAGAAAATGCCCGTCTACCAATGTTCTGATTATTTCGTAATAATTTCTCTCTAATTTAGCCTTAACCAGATGTTTATTGTATTTTTCAATAAATCTTTCGCTTCTTCTTCCTTATGAGCATTATACTGTAAGCCCTTCCGAAAATGTTGACATGTGTCGTATAAACCCGTCCGTGGACTCTTAATTTGAACATAAGGTGTTAATTGGTGTCATAACGTGCGAAATGCATCATATTTTAACAATTTCAGTGTGCTATGATTTTCGAGACCTGCAATAAACTGATTTATAACTTGTTTCAGCTGGCAATAATGTAAGCGATTGAGTAATGCGCGATTAACATTTCTACCAAGACTTGGTAACCAATAAATTTCAGCATAGTTTCGAGAAGATTCTTCACGACGGTAGAACGGTTATATCAATGGTCATTTTGGTTTTCCATCGTGGTACTTTTCACGTTACCATGAACACGCGGTATTATGCCATTCATTGCTAGATAGTTTCCAACATTTTCGAAGTGATTCCCAACACATTGAGATACGTTTCTGACAAAGAGGTGTATTGCAATCTCGGTAGTAAACTGTTCGCTTATTAGTATGCGTTTTTTTAAGGCGTCGATCGGCAGTTATTTCTCCACCATTCATCGCTCGTAGTTGGCCATTAAAATATATTTTGTTCGTAATTCGGCAAATTTTTTCTTCGGAATCTTTTTCGAACCACAATTGCAACCTGTCTACAAGAAATGTATTGCTTTTTCATGTTCGGTTGATATTGAACCACTATAATTATAAATTTTCATATACGGATATTCATATATTAATTTTAATACTTTCATTTTTGTGCAATCGTTTCCTCTTTATTCATTTTTAGTGTAAAGAACATATTAAACTCGAGAAGGTACAGAGATAGTTCAAAACCCTTGCAGTTTAAATGGTCACAAGCTGCTTATCAAGACATCGTACATTGTTAAAACGGACACCCATTTTCACAGTATTAAAATTCACATCATGCCAAAAAAGTACAATACAAAGCCATTCTCCAACTTTTCGGGCCAGTATTAATAGTAAGATGTCAATTCAAACATGGCAAATTATAAATTAGAGATCTCAGCCATATACATACCCATTAGACAATGCAATATATCATCTACTATATTATCTACCTAAATTTGTTCATTCTTCACAAATTCATCAAAAAGGTACCACACTTGTTGCTCAGTAAAATATGGGTTGTTGAGTGACTCTGCAATATTAAAGATGATACATTAACATGTCAGTTAGACAGAGTCAGGCAGTGAATGCTGATAGTTCCAATTGCAGCTATTGTCAAAATTGCATAAGCAGAGTGATTGTTCCTGACACTTCAGAAAGTTTCAAGGCATTCATTGCAAATGCCCTCAGCTGCAGAATACAGTTTTAGTTTGTCAAATTCATCTGCAAAAAATGACAACATCATTTTTCCATTCTTTTTGAGCAAAAACATCAAGGAAATCACTGGAAGAATGAATCTTTTGCAAAAAGGGTCTTTGGTACTGTTGCTGAAGAGCAGCACCTAGAGTTTTCCAAAAAGCCTCTTCATCACAGACTACATTTACCTCTTACTCTTCCAAACTAAACCAATGCTGATTTAGAAGAATAACAAAGGAGCATAGCATGAGCTCAGTAGCTGACATAATTGACTACACTATTAGTATAGGAGTCTCAACTTACCATATACAACAATAGCCTTCTTCATTTAGCTCTGTTGCAAGCCTTAACATTCTTGTTGACTTCCTGGATGCTTGTGCACCCATTAGCATCATAGAATTGTGATATAAGCCCTTTGTTCAGTAGCAAAAGCACAGTAAATCAGGGGTCATTCATGTGTGCTGAATAAAGACAGGAACCCACCATGTCTAATATTAGTCACTCATGTTCCTCATTTTCTGACGGATCGACAAAGTAGACTAAATATAAATTTGTTTCTTCTGTCCTAATAGCCCCATTGACAGTCGAGTCACAAAGTCGTTACTTCTCGCATCTTCCAACAGTATTAGTATGGATTTTTGTTTACATAGTTCGACAAGCACAGCATGCAAAGACGGAAGAGTGGCAAGGAACACCGCCCGCTCTGGGTCATCTATTGGAAGATCTTCAATGTCCTGTATCTTCCTCTCGGCCACTGAAATTTTTCGTTGCACTGGATTCGAGTTGGTCGCTCATTTGTATTGAGAAGGGAAGAGCAAAGATTTCAAAATGCTGTCCCACCTTGTCCACAGGACAACGAATGAATACAAGCCCGAACAAATCGACTCATTCTCAAATCAGAAATCGGAAGAAGGCCGCGGCTGCCTAACTTTCTTGCAGCTTGTAGAGACGAGTGTGCCGAGTTGCGACTTCCTTTGTGAAAAGTAGAAACCGAGATTACGAACAGATTACAAATTGATTACAGACGATTCCAATTCAACTTCAAGCGATTCTAAGATTGCGTTCGCGTATAAACGCTGTGTTTAGGTATGGGACGTTCATT